AGAAAGGAGGTCTACTAAAGCCATGATCTTGTATAAAAAACATCTTAAAAAAAAAGATGTTTTGCGGCCAAAATGCCAAACATGAGGTTTCAAAACTGCTGTCTGAACCAGTTGGTGGCCTCACGTTAGCTAATACAACTTCTCATTCATAGTCAGTGGTTGTTTTCCCTTAACAATAAATGATAAAGGCCAACTCAGCGGGCGATTAGGGTTGAGTACGGCCATTCATGTCTGTATCCCGATGACCAATCATAACACAACATAAGTTTAATGAGCTGACAACACCCAAATTGGCGGGTATGTTCTGAGACCCGTCTACAACTTCTCCATCTTGTCAACCATCAGCTTCTCGTCTCTCTCAGATTCAATCTGTCCAACTTCAATTACTGTCATTTCTACATTCATCCCCTCTTCCAGTCCATCCGTCCATCTCCCCTCCCCCCTTCCCTCCCTCATTACCCCCCACCTCACCACAAGGCTGTCAGAGTTTTAGGGATCCGCTGAGCTGTGAAATCGCACAAATTGCTGTTGCTTTGCGTCTGGCCCGGCAACAGAGGGGGGAGATAGAGCGAGAGACGGAGATAAAGACAGAAAGAGAGAGAGAGATTTTATGCTTCAACACTTCTGAACCTGAATCCCCCCCCTCCCCTTCATCCCCCCCCTTCGCAGCCCCTTCCTCCCTTTATTCACTCAGACATGGACAAGCACACGCACAGCTGCAAGACAGCATATCTACCCAATACAATCCAACCCCCCTACACTCCCCTACCACACACACACACATTCACATACTTCTTCACCCCCCACCATCACCACCTCCCCTGAACATGTGACTGCCCCAACACCACCGCCGCCACCCTCACGTTAAAGACACCTCCACCACTTTGCTTCAGCATTCGGGTCACTTCACAGAACAACTCGACGAGAGGCTGCAGCCCTCAAGAGGAATAAAACCCCTCCTCGACCTGAAGAGCGGTTTCAGCCACCTCTACTAGAAAGAGCGACCCCCCCCCACACACACACACACACACACACACACACACATATACACACACACCCATTCACTGTGCCCCTAGGATCACCCTCTGGCAAAAGGTCACAAACATACACTGTGTTGCTCTCGATATTAAGTTGCCGTGTGTTAGTGTTTTCTTGTTTGACGGTAGCTAACAAGAAGGTGTCACACTGTGAGGATGATAGGCCTGACTTCAACTACACCCAAACATTTTAAAGTGATGGTGTGGTTTAAAAATAAGTATTTTTCACATGAAACACTACATCAATCAATCAATCGATCATTATTTGTATAGAGCCAACAAGTGTTCTCGAGACGCTTTACAAAAAGAGCAGATGGGATATTATGCAGGTAGGATTTCTCCTTTGTATTCCTCGCGTTTCTGTTGTCTACACTTCATTGCCGCTGAGGTGGAGGTCGGAGCAGGCCGTGCGGTGGTAGTGGGGACGACACAGTCTAATGGTGGTGGCTGGGCGTCAGGGGCGTCGGGTGGTAGTAGTGCCAGATCACCTCACTGAAGGTCTCTACTTCATGCATCAAAGTTCAAACTGTAGATTTGAGGGACATCCCCCAGGAAACAGGACTTGTCAAGTGGTTTCTAACATCAGTTCCCGACCTGAACTATTGGAGCCGGCTTCAGTTTGAGAGCCGTTTTCCTTTACCCTAATAGGTGTTTTTAAATTCACAGCACTATAAATGTGTGCTCATTTCTCCACACCTCTCAGCCAAAGGCACACTTAGTACTCATTATAAAATTAATATTTTATACCAAACATCATGTTATTCTGGGACGGATTGAGTATAATTACAATAAATACTTTCAGTGAAATACATGCATACTTATCAATAATAGGTCAAACATTACTAAATGTGGCTGATTCAACAAAGACAAAGTAGTACCAAATGAAGAGTCGTTTGGGAGCCAAAAGCGCCCAGCTTTTGTAAGAACAAGAGGGGCTCCAAGGATTAAAGGTTGGGAACCACTGGTGTATTAGACATGTCAGTAAAGATGTGGGCCTCCTAAACAGTAAACAAATAAGCTAGTAAAACAAAGTTAATATCACAACTTTTTAAAATGCAGTAAAAGAAAATCCTAACATGAAACGATAGCGTACTCATCCACCATTCCATCCATCCATCCACTACTGTAGATGTCGTGATTGCCTTTTTGTACTTAACTTATTGCACTCCTCTTGTTGTTCAGCCCTGTGTATTTCTTTATCTATATTTCACTTACAATCGCAGCTCCTTTGTGTTACCATTACTGTTTTTGTACAGTGATTTAGGAACAATCTGACGCTGGAATTTCCAACAGGAATGAAAAGGTTTTATCTAATCTTCTGATAAAAAAATAATGTATATATATATATATATATATATGTAGAAACACTGAAAGCCATCAGATTCAAAAGACCCAAAGGAAGAGTAAAGGTCCTTACACCTTCTTTAGAACAACTAAAGAGCGACCCCATTTATTTAAAGCCTTGCACGAACTATAGCCGAAAGAGAGACAGAGGAAACAGTAAATTACACAAAGCGTGACATAAATATGTAAAACTAATTGAGTAAAAGCAGTTCTTACTTTTATTTTGACAGTAGAAATGTATTCCACTGGGGAGGGAAATGATTGAGAACTGAACTAAAAACTTTAGTTATTACTCATAAAGTCATGATTTAGGTGACATATTACTGAAAGCAGCGTTTGCAACACAAGGTCCAACACAAATACAGACAGATACTAAAAACATTCAGATACTAAATATAGCTCATGAGTCATAGTGAAAAGTGCAAAAACAAAGAGATGTACAACAAAACCATCTCTACATTCAAACAAGCAGAAATATTCAGGACCCATGATGTTGTCTTCAAACAGTCTTTGCTTTTACTGATAAAGATACTGCCCTCTAGTGGAGAAATGCATCTTCTGTTCCACACTTAGATGCTCTGTAGTCCAAAACACTTTCCTTAAGTGATGTGAAAGGATCCAGAAATCGAAATATGAAGTTATCTTCAGTTTACAGGAAGTTATACGTTTCAGGCTTTTAGGATCAATATTTATTCTGAGTCTTCAGAAACTTAATAAAAATGTACAAACAAGAACTAAAAAAGTTGAATACTTACTGCAGTCATCAGCCAGCTGAACTCAACACTATTTTTTAGTGCAAACACAGGAAACCACACACTTTAAACATGAAAAAAGGTCTAAGCCCTGATGAAGACCTCTATGGGTTTAAAATGAGCCATTAGCTATTTGAATATCATTCAAGAAACAATGTTCTTCTTATTGAGTCTCTTGTTGTTTAGACTTCATCAGAACGAGGAACTGATTCAAAACAGAGGATGTTGCCAAAGTTAAACCTGACTTCTTAAAATAAAGTAACCTCTCACATCAAGAAATGTAGTGCAACACAAACAACATGTTTTAAAAGTTCTTCAGTGCAATGGTTTACCAGCAGAGATATGAGGGAGACCAAGAAAGAAAAACTCTTTGATTTTAACCATAATATTTAAAATGTGCCGTTTTACTTCAGATTATTTGCATTTCATTGCAGATTCTTCCCTTCCACCATATGTGAAGACATTTCACACAGCATCATAATTCATTAGCTTTTTGTATTAACATTTAGGACGTTTTGTTGCCAACCAGACTTAAATCCTTAAAAATGATATGGACAAAAAATATTGTCGTATTTTTTTGTATTTTCTCCTTTTATATGTCACGTATTATTTCCATAAATGCACTATTCCCTCATTCAAAAAATGAAAATGTGCTTTGAACACTGAAATACCCACCAGGACTAGGGTATTTACAAAGCCTTGAAAAATCCCCTCTAAATTTAGGATTATGTGAAACTTTACTACTTCTTTATGTTCTCTTTTTCTTTTTGTATTTCATTCAGAATGTTGTTTCCAATTGTCTTCATTATATTCATGTAATTTCAAGCAATGATTGATAAAGAAAGCTAAAAAAAAATAATAATGGGGGAAAAAAAACACAAAACAACACAAAACAGACTGGAATCTTTAATTACAGTCCCAGGAACTAAAAGGTTCAGAGGCTTCTCTTCAAGGGACTAAAAGGTTCCTGTGGCCCATAATTGTCAACGTATCCACCGCTGCCTGAAGTCTCAGGAAGATTATACAAATCAGGCTGTATTGCTTTGCAAATGGTTTCACTGATTAACAATGGAAAGCAGATGAGTGCTCCAATCAAAATGTTAGAAGAATGAACACTGGACACCACACTCCCCTCATTTTGCCAAAAAACCTAAGAAACACTTTTATGCTTGAATCCGCTGAGGTTAAGTGGCACCGCTATGGTTACACCACAGGAGGGCGCTGTCAATACAAATACAATACAAATACACCTATCTGATTGGTTGAGATTGCTGTTACCATGGCAATTTTTCTCGCCCCCTCGGCACCGTTCTCTAACAGGCTGAGGCTAGCTAGTTAGTTCGCTAACACGAAATGTACTAATAACCTTGTCATGTTGCAGGTAATGTAGTTTATATTTTCCACAACACAAACTACGAGATAACAACACTTGTATTAACAGTATAAACACTATAATAACAACTAAAGTTACTTTTGAAAAGAAACGATCGCAATGGATTGTGGGATGGGTAGTTCCTTGACTCTGGATGGAAATTAGGAACACAGTCTTGTACCTTTGCTTTTTCTTCCGTTTATTAATGCCGTTTTGGTGCCAAATTAAATATAATATAGTCACGAGTGCATGTTGTTGTCGAAAAGGTTTTATTTCACCCTTGTTTTGTTCCTTTGTAATCATTTTTTCTCTTTAAGTATATACAGATGTACAAATTACTTTATAAAACTGTCGTGCAGACGAGTGGAGTTTACACTGAGTCAAACTCTGAACTGAGTTTTACTCTCCCTGGTAGGTGTTCACTGTTGCCTTAAACAGAAGTCTGTTGGTCACTATTTAAGTATTGAGAGAACAAGATGTGAAAACGAAACAGGACAAAGCGGAGTTCCCCCAGTGAGTATGTTGGACCTTCTTTATATTTCTATTTACTAAAACTAGATATCTGTGTCTCAGTCATCAGGCCTTAACAATACTTATATTGAAGGTCAGTAGTAGTTGTACAGAAAATTCTCTTGAGGTTGTTTTTAACTAAAACAATGCAGAACATTTGCTGTATTATCGTGTAAGGTGAAAGTAATTATATAATGCTCTGTCCTTTTTTTTTTTTAAATAAAAAGCCATATTGTAATGTTAAACTACCGTATTTAGTTATTTACTATTTAGTTAAATGTTTGATGCAGTAGTTTATTCATAAATGCTGTTTGGCTGGTACTGTACAGGCTGACATGGTTTCCCTTCTCGTTTATAATCAACAATAATCACCTGTGTGTGTGTGTGTGTGTGTGTGTGTGTGTGTGTGTGTGTCTATGAAACAGCAACACTTCTGTCTGGCAGACTGCAAAGATGGCATTGAGTGCAGCCTCTGCAGTGCAACACCATGAACCCTCGATCAAGAAGTAATGCACACTCAGGCTGGAGGGTGAGGAGACGATTGCATGAATTTTTAAAAAGAAGGTAGATTACTTGTCACAAACAACACATTTTTACCTACAGTGTCAGTCATCATTTATTTTGATAATTTGTTTTTAAAAAATCTTTCTGTTCCACACTTGAAAACTTTGCACACATGAGAGTGACTAAGAGAGATGAAAGTCGTTTCTAACATTTTGATCATTAATAGACAAAGGAAAATGTTGTGAGTACTAAACTGACTTAAATGGGGTTTTGATCACAACCTATTTATTTATGTGTGTGTCTAATGTCTATATTCACATTACGATATCATATGGTTTTTAAATAATTTGAACCATGAAAATGGACCCGAGAAACTTCTGAACTGCTACTAAATTGTTCAAATAAAGTTGATTAAATGCATTTGCAGTCTTTAATACAGTCATAAGTTCATCACAATTTAGAGGAACTGTAAACTGTATCAGGTTAAACATAAACCTAATTCCTGATGACCTCTAGTGGCTTTTAAGAGTTCCTACACTGCAGTGCCGCAGCATTTAGTCCATTGGATGCACGCTTTCGCTTTGGGCATGAACTTTAGTCTCAAAGTTAGTCAAAGTTACAGTCTGATGAACTGTCAGATCCTATCAGTATGCTGTAAGGTAGTGCACTATTACATCATGCTGTGAAGTACAAATGTATTATCTCCATGGGGGATAAGAAACAACCATGCAGCAGGTGACATTACTTGCTGATTATTCTCTGATTTATGTTGAAATGTTAGAAACTGCCAGTAAAAAAACAATTCAGTCGTCATAGTGTCATAAACAGATTAAAAGACTGACAGATTAAAAGAATAGTTAGCTGATCAGGTGAAGGTGCAAAGCTTTGTGTGGGTTTTATATCAGAACAACATCTGGCTTTGACTCATATTTGTAGAATGACATTAAATGAGATGCGTCTGCACACCTACTTAGTGGTTTGAACACCACCAGGGTCCACCCGCTGTGCACGACACAAACTGTTATTGTTCTTTGTCTGACACATGCATGAATGATGAATCTTATAGCTGAGCTCTTTGCAGAGCATCAGTAAATTAAGATTTAAATGCTATGAGTTGAAAAAATTTAGATATAATCTTATTATGAAAAAGTGAGATACTGTACGGGGGGGCTTCACAGACGGTTTGTGACTCATTTGGGTTCTAACGAGACGCACTCATGTAGAAGCTGCTGAAACCCCCAGTGTACTATTGAGTAGACGTGTAGGTGTGTGATAAGGCTCTAATGAAAGGTATCAAAGAGCATCTCTGCTCTCTGTGTTAAGAATGTTCTCAGTACTGAAACATGTCTGCTGGGTGTTATTATGTCAAGAATTATTTGACACAGTAAGATATAATCAAAACATTTTATGAAGCGTGAATAGAAAACAAACTAGTGGAAAAGCAGTTGCATAAATTTCATAAATATATCTATATATACCTCAACTCTGAAGCAAAAAATTTATTTAGCTCTTGTTCTCTGAAAAGAAAAATGATATTCAATTCTAAGTTGACACAGATATTATCACTGTCTTTCTTTTTTAAGAAGCTGGTTTCAGTTTCCTGTTGACTTTTTTTTGTTTAACTATTGCATATTCATAGCAGCAGAATAGATGTGGTGGGAAGGCACCAAACAGACACGACTCAAAGACATTCAAACCACATCCTGAGTCACGCCACTGATAATGACGCCTTCGCTGCGAGGAACCTGAAAATGTTCCCCTAAACATTCTCACACAGTCAGCGCTGCATCGGGGACTCTGTTGGCTTGGTGGCTGATTAGCTGGCACAGTTGTGAATTTAAAGAAGGTAAGGTCATTGATTTTACTTTTAATGGGATCAGAAAATGTTGATGAAGATGATTTTTTTAAGCTGGTTTAACAAAATAATTACATTTTCAATGGATTCTAATTTAAACTTTTTTTGACTGTAATTATTAATGATGCTAATGCTTTTGATGTTTTCCACATTTGAGATTGAAGATATGATTTGAGCTTTTTGTCTATTTAAAAAGGATTTCACCTTCGTCCAATTTTGACATTAACAGGAGAGGAGTAGTGCCAGACTTGAGAAATAAATAATGATAGGAGAACGATTTGTTTTTTCCATTATCCTTCCGTTATGGTTGTGGGCAGCAGTAGTTCACACTGAAGGGACTTGGGTTGGGAACGGGAGGGTCGCTAGTTCAAGCCTTGATGTGGACCATAATATGGAAGTTGGTCTGGTCGCTGGAGAGGTGCCAGGTCACCTCCTGAGCACTGCCAAGGTGCCCTTGAGCAAGGCACCGAACCCTCAACAGTTCTGGTGCACTCTCTGCATAGCAGTGTGTAGCATCTCTGCCATCTCTCCACTAATGCATGTCCACAGGTCCTGTTTGTGCATGTGTGTGATTCGAGCCTATGTGTGTGAGAAGCATGTCTCTCAATAACGCAGTGTAAAACCAGAGTTTCTCTCAGGGATTAATAAAGTATGGGGCGATTTTTTTAAATACTGCTCTTTGATCAAAAGTCAAAATATTGTGAATAAAGTTGAAATACAATTTCGTTTCGTACTTTATTCTTGACATTTCCACCAACAACAAAAAATCTTCGTCCTTTCGTTATTTATTTTTTATGCCTGGCTCTAATCCTTTTCCATAACAATTCGATTCGACTAAAAAAGCATCCCTACGGTTATTTTTTATTTATTTTGAGTGTAAATTTATTATCATTATTATTATTTATGTGTAGTGTTTCCTCCTGTCTTACCAGAGGCTGATAACTGTGGGTCGTCCCCATGGCTCTGAAAACTGTGCACCTGTTGTCGCTGTGGGGCTTCACTCTGTTTGTTCACGGAGGTAAGTTGATCTAATCACTCTGGTTTTCTTTACCTGTCGGTGAGAATTTCTCAGAATCACATTGTTTTTAGTACATTTACAAGTACAACTACATTTACACATACAAGGAATTTGAGTTGGTGTTTTGGTGCATAAACAGTTAGCAAACTCAAAGGCTATAAAACACAGCAGTGCTCCTGCTGACAACTTAAAAAGAATAAGAAATAATATATATGATAGAATATAAAGATATAAAAACACAAAAAGGTGCAGTTGAGGAAATAATATATATGATAGAATATAAAGATATAAAAACACAAAAAGGTGCAGTGGAGGATCTGTGCAGTTGTGCAGGTATGTGTGTGATTTAAAGTGAAAATGACTTCCAGTATTAATCTCCTCACAGAGTTCAGTGTAAACAGAAAATACTGAAGTCTAGTGTGCGTTAATGTAACGCATGTAACGCATACCAGACTGTGATGGAGGAGGAGAGGATGGACTCAATGATGACAGTGTAGAAGTGCACCATCATGGTCTTTGGCAGGTTGAAATTCTTCAGCTGCAGCAGGAAGTACATCCTCTGCTGTTCTTTCTTGATGAGGGAGCCTATGTTCAGCTCCCACACGAGGTCCTGAGGGATCCCAGGAAGCAGAAAGAGAGTGATGGTGATGGTGGGTGGCTACATTTTTCCTGAAGTCCACAACCACACCTAGAGGAGCTTGACAGACTGGTGCCTAGAGGTGCTTCTGTTAGTGTACAAAGAGCCTTGAGAGGAGCCAGTGTTGATGTTTGTGGCAGTCCTGACAGTATCCCAGTCAGATCAATTTAAGCACGCCTTTAATTCTTCCACAGCTTCACTGGTGCACTGCTTTGAGGTCCTCACAACAGGCTTGCAGAGCTTTAATTTCTGCTCAGATGGACCATAACATAGGAGGAGGGACCCAGTGCAGCGCGGGTGATGGCGTGATAAGCGTTGCTGATGGAGGTGTAACAGTGGTCCAAAACTTTCCTCTCTCTGGTTGGACATTTTAGAACCTGTCTGTACTCAGGATGCTCATGACTTAGATTGCCTTTGTTAAAGTCACCGGGGACAGTAACTAAGGTGTCCGGGTTTGTCTGTTCTGCACACAGTATCTGGTCGGCGAGAGCGCTGTTATCCTCGTGCACGCTGGCCTGTGATGGAATGTAAACACCAATCAGAAGAGCTTGAATGAAAAGAGATTCAAGCTCAGGAGAACAATGCTTTTTGATCGCTGTTACGTCCCTAAACCCGCCTCTGTTGACATAAATACAGATTCCTCCGCCATGTGCTTTGCCAGAAAGTTCTTTGTCTCGATCCTCTCTGAAGAGTTGGAGTCCCGCCAGCTGCAGCCCAGAGTCCAGTATCAGTCCACACAGCCACGTCTCCTTGAAACACAAAACACAGGATGTAGAAAGGTCTCTGTTTCTTCCCATCACTAGCTGAAGTTTGTCCAGTTTGTTGCACAGTCAACGCACATTGGAGAGAAATATGCCCGGTAGAGTGGTTAAGCACGAGCACACCTGCCTGTTTCCCTCTCCTCTGTCTTCCCAAAGCGCACCTTGAACCAGAATGCCCAATACTTCCACGGATTGCGTCAGGATAGGGGGGAAAATCTCACTGTGATTCCTGAATTCATTCTCTCTTTTAAAAATGAACTTTTCATTGTTGAGAGTTTGTCCTGATTTTGTCAGATTGGAAAAGTTTCCCTTCATGTATTTCCGAACTTGAGTGAGCCTAAACACAGACATGCTGAGATAAACATGATATAGAGTCATGTCAGTATGAAACATACGTCTGTATTTACACGAGGTGAATAGTTTTACAGTATTGACATTACAGTGTGTGAGAGTCTAGTGCGCATAGATTCATGATCGTATGGAGAGCAAAGTACTGAGGTAACTTTCTGTGGCCCCATCATCTCTATAAAAAAACATATTAGATGTGTGTAGAGCATGAATGTTGATCATAGTGAATATAAACTCCTGTTAATGACCCACTTCTCTTCTCTGGTGCAGGAACTTCATTCTGCAATGTCACCTGCTCCACAGACTACAGTGTCACAGTGAACTGTTCGTGCTCGGCTCCTTTGACGACATATTCTGTCATCGTTGAAGTCAGCTGCAGGTACGTTTAGACTTTGATGAGCATCATTTCTTTTGAGGCTTCATAATGCTTCATGTGGCTTAGGAGCATCCGAAAGATTTTTTTTTTTTTTAAAACAACAATTTTGTCTGGGAGTTTTGCTTTTTCAACTTACAAATAAGCATCAACATAATGACCATTTTGAATATCATGCTCTTGGTTCCAAATATGCATGGTACTATGAATAATAGGGCTGGGAATTTTTGGGTGTTTCACAATTTGATTTTGATTCTTGGGGTCACGATTCGATTCAGAATCTATTTTCTATTCAAAATCATTCTGGATTCATGACTCAAAATCTATTTATGAATTAGTACAAGGGAGTGACAGATTAGCCAAAAAAGTTATGAATCTATTTAAAATCTCTGATAAGAATCTTGATTTTTACATAAATCACATTTTTTCCCAGCTCTACTGAATAGAATAGATCGTATAGCATCAGTGAGTAGTTTTGTCTAGGAGCAAACTTTAGCACAACTTTTAAAAATTGAGTTGTTTTGTGGAAAAGTTGTTTCAATGTAACGGAAACGCTGCAGAGCTGCAATGAAGTTTGACCTTAATGTTCGCTTTACTGCATCTTCCTTGATGCTTTGCCTTTCAGAGTTTCCACCAGAATGTTTCAGTATGAACACCCATCAGTGATGTTATGATGTAAGCATTGATTGAAGGAGAGAAGCCTGAATTACACATTTAAGAGGCTGATTAAGTGTCAAATACTTTAGATATGTAATAACAACAGGCTTTGTTACATCTATTATATCTTTTTTTTAACATTCAAGTAACAAAATTAGAAGATGCACCTTTAAAAGCACATTATATTGCAGTACATTTGTTGGCTCCTGCTACTTAAATGTGGGGCACGCACACTAACCACTAACCACTAACCACTGCGCCACCAGGGCCTCAGGGTTTTAGACTTTTAATGGCATTTAAAACTTTTTTTTTTTAACTAATTTGTGCTATTTTTAGGCAAAGGCATAAGAAAGTTAATTGATAAAAAAATCATTTGATTAATCAAAAAACGACTGGTTGATTCATTGGATATGGTTTCTGGTGAGAAGCTCTCAGCATGATGCTTATGTTGGGATGTATTGTATTATTAATAAGATGCATGATAGTTATGATACAGGTACACGATACACTAAGCTGTGTGATTGTCTATCATATGTTTTCCTCCCCTAAACAGTGGTGATGTGAATCTGAGCTCCCAAACTGTCATTGCGTCAGCTCGGCTCTAAAACAAATCGCTTTGAAACCACATCCTTTAATGCTGAGACTTCCACTGATGTCACAGAGCATCATATATTAATAATGTCTGATTATCTGCCTCCAGTGATGGTTACGGACTCTACGTCAACAGCAGCTGTGAAGTTAAACCGCCTCAGTCCTGGTGCATCATGTATCCTGAAGATCTCGAGGATGTTACCTCCATTGGGACGATGTGTACGGCGACCGTCACCCAACAAGATAGTCGAGGTGTAGTGAAGGGCATGGAGTCATCTGTCTGGGAACTGAGTCATGTTGGTAAGTTAATCTGACAACGACCGTATGAATTGACCTTTCTGTTTCCGTCATCTCTGCTGATCAGATAAGTTCTTCATTGAGCGATAACGTCGACAGTTTAAAGAGGTCAAACGTCAAACTGGATACGTTTTATAGAATACAATTATTAGTATAAAGTGGTTTAGAATAAGTCAAATGTTTTTTCACAGTAATCTTTCAATGATCTTTCTGTGAATTTCAGGTGTTTGTAAAACACTTGTGCTGCTTTCAGCCACCTGTTTCCAAACGCTTCATTACATACTCATCATTTAATCATTTTCAGTTCTGTTTGAAAAGATCAAAAACTGAAGACAATCCTTCTGGGAACTTGGGAAACTTGGGAACTTGGGAACTCCCAAAATATTGATTTGTCGCAGATGCCAACCCATCTGCTTCCTCCTAAAGATTAAAAGAAAAAAAATTAACCGCCACTTGCTGTGATTTACTGGCACACATTTTCATTTTCATTATAATTCCCCTTTTGGTCTTTTACTTTCACAGTGAAAGCTCTGCCTCCTTTGGATGTCCACGTGACAAACAGTGGCAGATTTTACAACATCACCTGGGACCACAACGACAGAGAAAACAGCCTCACATACAGAGTGCGTGTGAGAGAGAGCAGGAAGTCGTCAGAGGTAATACATGAAGGAAAACGCAAAAAAAACTCTCAAAATTGGACTTGAAGTGTATCCAGGGGCGTGTCCAGAGAGGTGGCTTGCGCCCCTTTTTTGCATTTCAATCAAACACATTTCATTTTGTCAGTACTTTGAATTGTTACTGAACATTTTATCTGTGAGTCATTCAGATGTAAAGCTAAGAAGATGTATATGTACCTACTTTTTGTGTTACTTTTTAAAGTTAATAAATCATTCACAGGAAAATGAAATCTGTATGATACTTTAATGTAAGCTGTTTCAGTAGATATGATTTGTAGAGGCAGATATAGTAAAGAAATGCTTATCATTTGTTTATATGTATATGTGCACACAAACTCAATGTCACACCTGCATAAGTCAGTGCACCAGTTTGGTTTGCCCAAGTGCAAAAAGTCTGGACACGCCCCCTTAGTGTTAAACTCTTCTTCATTCCCTTCAGGATGCTGCTCTGGTATACTTAGTGGAAGGAAAGCACAAACTGTTAGAGCACATGAAGCTGAGGCCACATGTGAACTACACTGTGGATGTGGCAGCCAAAATGTGTCCTGAGAATCTGTACTTGGGTCCGTGGAGCGAGTGGAGCTCCTCTGCAGAATGGACGACTACAGGAAGCTCAGCGGTAGAGTTCAAAGGTAGAAGAAGATTTTCACATTAGAGCAATAATATGATCGTTTTAACTCGTGCTTTATCAGACTGCTGAGGCTGGTTGCAGATGTTTTGTTTAATGTAACTCAGGTTCATTAATTATTTAATATTGTAAGATCATATTTGGCTCAGTGGGAGAGTCGGTCGTCTCTCAACCTGAAAGTTGGGGTTTCGGCCCCCAGCTCCTGTAGCCACATGTTGAATTGTCCTTGCATAAGACACTGAACCTCAAATTGCTCCCGCTGCTGCGTCAGTGGCATGTGAATGTGTATGAATGGAATTAGTCAGCACTGATGGACATGTTACATTGCAGCCTCTGCCATCAGTGAGTGAAAGGGGGGAATGTAACATGAGGTGTAAAAAGCGCTTTGAGTAATCAGGAAGCTAGAAAGGCGCTGTACCAGTCAGTCCATTTACCGTTTACATGTCTGTCTCTTTTACAGGAATGAATAAAACTTGGTTGTTTTCCCTCCTGTCCATCGTTGCTGTCCTTGGAGTCGTGGTCTATTCACAGAAAACGTGAGTACTGCAGCCGAACGGGTATTAGCTTTGAAGCTAGGTGCTGCGGATTACCTGCAGAACAAATGACACAAAATGTCCCTCGATTTACGATTCTCACATGTCTAAATTTTTGACATTCCCCCAGATACAGTGCGACTTGTCACTTCAGAAACTTTACCACACAACCTCAAAAAGCCTAATTTGTCTTTCTGTTAAACAGCTGGCCGTTATTTTCCAATAAACACTGCTCGCTTTGGGAGAAGCAGAAGTAGAACACATATCATATTTAGATTGAAAAATTATAGAAATAATGATACATTAGAAATAATGTGTTCAAATCCTGTTCAGGGTCAAACTTCCTTTTGAGTTTATAATGAGCTGAATGCATTAATCGTGTAAAAAGTAAGATAGCAAAGTGAAAGTAAAGTTAGTCTGAATGTTAGTCTGAAGGTCAGAAACACGTCTAGTTCCAGTAAACCATTAGCAAAGATTCTCACTGCTTGAACACAGACGTTCCTGGTATCGCCTCCCACATACAGAGAAACCACTCCTGTGATGTATGTGCAGCAGCACATTGCACTCAAATGGCTAACAGGCATAGGAAGTCTGTGCAGAGAGGATCAGTGTCAGACACTTTGAAGTCACGCCTCGAAGTCGAGGGCACACAGTCACAGGAAAGATAATACTTAAAAAAAGGCTTAAAAAAGTAGATGAACAATGCGCTGACACGGTTTATCTGGTTGTTACTGTTCAGTTTGGAGGATGTTGAAGAGTTAACCACCTGTGAGTGAGGAAAATCACACCTTGGGTTTGGTTTGGTTTAGAGCTCACAAAAACTGTGTGCATGTTGTTATAGGCAGCAGAACATGCAGATATGTGACGTACAGACACTTTCTTTTTCCATCTCGATGGTTACAAATTTACATTTTTGTTGAAGTCTCTGGGCTTCAGTTCTGGAGCTGTTTGGTTGCATTTACTTGCAGCTGTATCTCGTAATGTGTGCACTTAATTATTTTAATGAGAGCAGACGAAAGATCTGCAAGTTTGGTTTTTCACTGTCGGTTCATTTGAAAGTGTTCGGTGCATTTTAAGACTCATGCTTCAAACTACTTAACGAGCTTTTGTTAAAGATAATGGTCGATGATACAGATACGGATCTTCTTGATCAATCCCTGCATCACTAAAGATTCCTCTTGTTTTACCTACTCTGAAGTAGGAGCTTTAAGAAGTCCTTCTAAACCGTGCTCTTAAAGCTACAGCATTTGCAGTCATTCTTGTTTTTGCAGTCTGGAGTCCTTTAACTGTCCTAGAAACTATCCAAACATTTCTCCAGGTCAAAAACTGTCGGTGGGAAAAAAATGATCTTCAATCACTTTTTCTTCCCTGTGGAGCATGATGAGCAAATTCTGTTGAAGCTCTTCAAAGTCGAGTTGTTTTTGCTTGTTTACATAATAACAGGCATAACTTACCGTAGTTAGACTCATGATGACACTGAACATTACAGCCATTTCATGCTATAAGTATTACTGGTTATGAGCTAGAAAACATCAGCACACCTCACGTACCAAAATAAAAACATCAGTGACAGACACAAATGAATTCAAAAATGTTCTTTGTGCGTATTCATTTCAGATATTTGCAGAAGAAGCTCCACCTGATCACATACATCCCCACACCGCAGGAGTTTTTCAAGCCCCTCTACCACAACTATGAAGGGAACTTTAAGGTAAGGAGAACAAACTCGGTTCACTGGGCTTTGTGTGTAGTTTCCATATGAGCCCAGCAGGTGATGCCTTAGAGGGGGACTTTCAACACATCTGCACCGAGGGGACTTTCCCGTGACTTCCCATGTAAGGGTTATGACTCAGTGCACAGGGGCTTCAAGAGGCTTTTCGTTTTTCATTTGTCTGGCACGCTGTGGGTAGATAATTGTGTGACGGCAGACCTGTTCCACCCCAGTGGAAAATACCCCCGTGTAAAGATCATTTATGTGTCATTGTGTCAGGCTAAAAAAACAGCTTGTTTTCACCTGATAAGGGCACAGGAAGGGACTTATTTTGTAACTGTAGTAGGTTGAAAACGCTACATATAAAGTTTTTATTCAAACAGACACCCCCCTATTTTTCTGTAATATTTTATGAGCTATTCTAATTGTAATGACAGATTTTCACATGGTAATATTCAGGTTACCCAGGAGATGGCGCTATTATGCCACTGTGGATTCCCAGAGAGACTTTATAACTTAGTCCTGCACATGCGCAAGTTCAGACAATAAACGAGCTGGCATGAGCAAGACGCTAAAAATGTATTGAAGGCTACGCAGTGCTTCCTAGCCTGTGTAACCTTTGCTGCCGGTCAGGATTTCCCCGAGGTCTGGTGCCGGAAACATAACCTCTGTGTGCATTTACAAACATTGGTCAGCAGAGTGCGCCACTGCAGGGAACATACTATTCTTAGAGAGGGGAAGTACAGGATGTACATGAAGTACTAAATTTGCTGAACCGGGCAAAATAAGAAGCAGATTGTGCTTTAAACAGATCAGATATTAAATAGATTGGGTCTCAAGCTAGTTTGCAGGCAACAAAAAAATACCTAAACAACATTAAAAAAAAAAACAATCTGAATTCTCTCAGAGTTTCAATACGAGTATGAAGATATAGATATAGAAATAGAGGGAGTGAAGGAAGAATCAAAGTAGTCTTAGAATAACACCTTGTAAAAGCACAAACATGTTTATTTTTGTCAGTATTATTTTTGTTATTATTCTATTTGCATGCATGTACATTGAAGAAGACATGACGGCCATTTGTGCGAGCACTGATGAAGACTTGTTGCGGGCTGTAATGAAGTCCACATAGTTAAAAGATGGTAACCATAATATAAACAAACATTTCCGTGTTCACATGAGGTTTTGGTTTGAGAACAATGAACACAGAAGTAGAAAACAAAAGTGAAATACTGTTAAACAGCAGCACAGCTACTGTGGAACTTAAACAGAATAAACAAACATGTTTATTACAACCAGCCTGTAGCATCAAGGTGGCCCTCTCATTCCTCACTCCCAATCATGAGCCACAATCAAACTCATTTTCTGTCCACAATTTATTATTAACAATAAACGTAAAATAAATCATACTTCAGGGAGAGCACCGAACAAAATCCCAAGTCAAAAACCCAACCTACCTTCCCTCAAATAAAGTGAAGAAAAGAAAATACATGAGTCTTGAGAGAAACAGGAGAAAAGGTTTCTCTCCCCTGCAACACAACCATGACTAAACAACGTAATCACAATATTTCTCAATTTAAACAAATCACAAAGTTTCCTTCTCTCCCAAAATATCTCTCTTTGGAGGTGAGGTAGAAGACGGGCAGTGTTTCAGTTTCCACAGCTCCCTTTGATACTGGCGCCCTCAGGAATCCTCCAATGATCCACAGATGCACAAACAACAAAAAAGAACACAAAGCCCCACAAAGGCAGATCCAATAATAAGAAGTACACTTTAATACACTTGTGACTCACAGTCATAACAGCCCCTACAACTTTAAAAGTAAAAAACAAACTCATCTTTGATTTAGTTTTGTGTTAACCATTTTTATGCACTTTTTTTTTTTACTGAAAAACTTTCAAACTGGATTTAAAGTTGATTATTTTCTCAAGACACATATCAGTTACTGTAAATCTGACGCTGTGTGATGCTCTGCAAGTTACATTTTATATCTATTTTTTGCAACATGACCACGATTAATCCAACATGGTTTCAGAAGTTCTTGCTGTAGCTTGACTTTGTTATCTGAGTCTTGCGGTGCAGACTGCTTGCATTTCCCCAGCTGCTCAGAGACCATTCAGTGCTGCTGATGAGCTCAGTAACTTCAGGATGTGGTGTCTTTTGCTTCACAAAAACTAATTCATGCTTATCTGCCCATCGTCTCGCTGAATGGAGGCAAAAAGGGGGCTGCAGAAGTATGTGATTCTTTAATTATGATTTAATTATTATGGAGTTAATCCTCACAGTCTGTCCATGCACTGCTGATACACTAATTTAATGCAAACTTTAAAAATCCTCTGAATAAAGTGCTTACGTTTTTGAAGAGCAATGCTATATGCAAATTAGAAAATGACTTTGTTATTTTAAGTTTATCCAAATAAAATTTGAGAAGCCCGACTGATAGTAAGAAATGAAGTAGTTCCTCCAGGAGGGCCGTGATAAACGTTACTTTACTTCATCACATCATGTTCGTACTGATCTGTTTGAATGAATTAATTGTGTCATTACAGTTTTTTTAAAAAGTGGCTAAATGTTCAGATAGATCCTGATGAACAACAACATGAAAGCCCCAAGTTAAAAATATATCTCGGTACTTGCCCAGGTGTCTCAGCCATGTTTCTTATTAGTGATTAAACATGCTGATTCCCTCCTTTGACAAGGTGTACATTGCACCCTCACACACACAGAAAATGTTTTTTTCATTGAAGAAACTCATGTCAGCTTTGCTGAGGGTTAGATGAAGATCAATGTCACAGATCCAGTATATAATGGGTTAATAAGCAGCCAGTAGCCACGTAGCTTAGCTTTCACACTGGAAGCATGGGGACACAGGTAGCCTGTTCAAATGTAAGAAAAAGTCTGCCTTCCATCACATCTTAAACTCACTGATTAACACATTATATCCCAGCTGTAAATCTATTCTAAATCAACTCTTAGTGGGAATAGCATGCTTTAAGAATCCTTGACTGGGTCAAAGGACAGACTAACAGTTAGCCCTCCGCTCATGTTCTTAATGTTATGCTAACTGCCTGCTAGCTCCAGCTTCTATGAACAGAAAAGACAACAGAATGTCTAAATCTTTCTGAGTAATTTGATGTTGAACATGCACTGAGTTAATTATTAGATGTATTATATTACTTTAGCTTATTAATGTGCAATGTAATAAATAAAAACTAATGTATAAATGTAATGTAAATAATAATATTAATTATACAATAGGATACATTGCTTTAATTCTTCAACTCTGAAGAGTGTGTGAGCTTCCTCACTTTACATGACATGCCTCTCGGGCTTCTGCAAAACTGTAATGCAATTTGATATCATACACTGCTTTTACCCATTTGGACACCCACAGTATATTGTTGCGGCGCTGATGCAGGCTGGCAATATAAAAAAGGACAACAGTGAGCGCTCCAAGTCATAAATATATGTGGGTACTCGTCTGATTGTTGTAACCACACTTCATAGAAGTGGTTAAACACATACTGACAAAACGGTGGATACATTTTAGGTTCTCGCTTTCATAAGTTGCATAAAATTCTTTCATGTATATATAAGGTTTGTTCATTTACAATGAAAAAACCTGTGTCTGTCATTTGCTGATTGCTATCTGATCATTTGTTGATTTTTTTTGGTTGCTAGAACTAGTTTCTGATCAGATGAAGCACATCTGCTTACAGTATTAATGCTAAGCTAATGCCCTGATGGCTGCTGTTTCAGGTTCATATTCATATGTTGAGAAAGCTAATGAGTAAATATTCACTGCCTTCCAATTTGTCTGTTGCAGGACTGGGTGAAACCTGTATTCAGCGAGAATGATTTCCTAAGCATCAACTCAGATGTTAATGTTCAGAGGAAAAGCGAGAAGCAGCCTGATGTCCTCCAGTGGAAGAATGAGAAACGAAGCTACAGCGAGGACGTGATCAAACAAGGTGGTCATCATTTCCTCCACATGATGCAGCCTCACAACAACCCCCTGCTGTTCGTCCAGGCCGCTGGTAGTTCTCAGAGCTCAGGTCACTCCAGTGGACACATCTCCATCCACACCGTAACCTTGTCTGGAGAAGGAGAGTTTGAGGAGGAAGTTAGGTCAAGGAACTCTGAAAACAACCTCAGAAGTTACCGAGATGGAGAAGGCTTTGCTTCATTTGAAGACGACAACAGAGAACTTGCTGGCTACAATTTAGAAGAGCTTCGGTTGTCCAGGTTGGATGGACATAGTGGGATGTTATCTCAGCTTGATAACCAAATATCCAACGACATATCATCAGAAAATTCCAACTTTGAGCCACATGCCATGATTCATGAACCAGAGAGGTTATCACTCGACTCGTTCGTCTCACTCGAGCAGTCAGACGGCTACCCTCACGTGGACCTGGACACTGTCGACAGTGGGTTTGGAGAGTGCAGCAGCCCTGGAGCCTCAGACTCAAACATGGCAGGGCAGATGGATTTATTTCAGGAGCACAAAAACTCAAATTCCAACTATGTCAAGCAGTGGATGATATGTAGCACTATTCAGGAAGACTCAAACAACACAGAGCAGGCTTCCTGAAACCTAATGATACATGTTACTGACAAACTGAAAGTCACAGATGGATACACTGTTTGACAAAAGTCTAAAATACCTTTTTTTCTGTGAATAATGTCATATTCAAAGGTTTTGCAATTTGTACGATATATGTATATAGCAAGATTGCTTTGTTTGCTTTTGTGATATATTTTTTATTTAGAAATGTACAAAGAAATAACATCATACATTACACATTTTTTCCCTTTTCTCCCCTCGACCCCGAAGAGATCACACATAGTACATGTACAAAAGTGGATTTGTGCAAACATCACCCACATCATCCCTATGGCGACCCCACATACCCACATATCCCCACCCTGGATCGTCATCTATCATGAAGATCCTTTACTTATTATTTTTGAATGTTTCAATTGGATGCATAAAAGTTTATTTTGCTTCTTTCATCAATGTACTTCTTGAGAAAATCTATAATTCATAACTCTCGCACTTGAGACTGTATCGACCTGGGTTCAGAATGTTGCAGTGGTTTGTACATCTGCATGATGTTTTTTGTTTTATCTCTGTTTACACAGCTTCATATTGTCATGGTCATGCAGGCTTCGTCTGCTTGTACTGTAGCACCAGCAACCTTGCTGCCTTATCAAGATGTCTGATAATGCCTGTTCTCCTTGCTTGTGCGTATTTTCAGTAACCACTGTAATCATCCGTCCTGTTTTTGTGAAATGTCAGTAAAAAGAGCAAACTTAGTCAAAATTCTTATCTGTTCATTTTTTTGTTCAAGGCCTCATTTATCAGAGTGAGGCAGAGAAACAAGCCAAACAGGCTGTGATGACCTGCTCGCTCACTTTGTGTTGTGAGTTTTTACAGAGTGTTAAAGGTTTTCCCTGTAGTTTCTGTGCTTTTTACAACTGCAAAAGTGCATTATTATTCCATTTTATCAGGCAACACTCTCCCTTAAACCCTTTTAACATCGATAAAATTAGTAATTTAGACAGAATTTGTTTTTCTGGGTCATTGCTGAGTATTTTGTCTGTCTTCAGCAAATATGATTATGACATTATGCAGGACTTTCTGGGGTGGTTAAAGGTACAAATTATTCAGATTTTGTATAGATCTATGAGCTGATTTTATCTGAGATTGTGTGAGGGTGGATTGATCTCTTGAGTGAAAGGGTTCCTGATGGTGGTGTGTGGTGGGAGGGGGTGGGGAAGTGTGGCTCATTTACTTTCCGAGTCCAAAGTTTCCCCGACTGCCAACAGTCTCACAGTTGTTATTGTTATTGCAAGTCTGTCCCATCAACCTATAGGAATCTGTTACTGCGTGCTCACAGGTAATCTTCAGTTTGTTTCATGGAAAGTAGTAGTCTGTAAGTAAAGTTTTTGATATAATAATGGCTCTGAACAGCATCATATGAGATTGCTTTTAAGATTCAACATTCGGTTCATTTGTCATTTTCCGTTTTCTTTAGCTATGTATCTGCAAGAAAGATGAAATGAGGTTCTCCCAGCCCACAGCACTAAGATTAGGGATATGTTTAGTAGAATTTAAGTCATCTTCAACCAGCTGGGGCTGTAGCTGGACTGGCTGTAGCTCTGGTTAACAAGCCTTCTCTATCAGCTCTATTACCCCGATGTAAACCTGCACAGCGGACAGGATAGCATCTTGTAGGAGCAGCACTGTTTTGCACATATTTGGATCGAAAAAAAGGATGATAAAATTGTGTGTGGGCTGTGTCAGGAATGTTTAATCACATTAAGCATGGGCATGTGGACGTTAACCTGCAGGGAGGACCAAAGACTGACGGCTAGCCACACTCGGAAAACCCAAATTCTGTTGTTGACCCCTCGGACAGCATTGAATAAGTTCTGCTCAAATAGTGATTTCTTACCTTAAGTCTAGTCAGTCTAAACAGAATGCAAATGTCAGATTAACCGACTAGAAAATAAGTCATCTGGGAACATCCTGCCATAAATGGTAAATGGACTTGAGTGTGTACAGCGCTTTTCTAGTTTTCTGACAACTCAAAGCGCTTTTACACCGCAGGTCACACCTACACATTCACACACTGATGGCAGAGGCTGCTCTGTAAAGTGACCATCAAAAGTAATTAATACCGTTCATACACATTCACACACCGCTGATGAAGCAGCAAGAGCAATTTGGGGTTAAGTGTCTTACTCAAGGACACATCAGACATGTGGCTGCAGGAGTTGGGGATCAAACCCTTGACCTTCCGGTTGAGCGTTGACCAACATTACCAACTAAAGTACAATTTAAAAAAAACAGCTTAGTTAAAAAAACAAGAAGCAGCAATCATGTAGCAGCACAGTCGTTGAAGTAGTCTTTGTAGTTGTATTTTTGGGGATAAAGTTCTGAGCTTCACTTTTCAGACTGATAAAGTTCAGGTTTCCAGTCGGAGGCTTGAAAGTCCATTAGCACGATGTGGCATTGGCAGAAACATCTGATTTCCCCCAAATCAATAATGCAAAAATGGACCAATCAACTTTTTTTAATCTCGTTCTTCAGCATCTGAGTGAACCCAAGGCCAAACCACACTCCTACTGCAGATGGAAGTATTATCTAGCCCATCGTTACCTAATAGTGCATATTAGTCAGAAGGTTCCTTTTTTGAATACATTATGCAAAGTAAAGTACAGTACCAGTGCATTATAACAACCTTTATTTACAGCCTCAGTGAGAAGTTTTCAGCTGCTTATGAACCAGCCTGAAGATTGACTATTTCTATGAAGTAATTATGCCTGTAACCAATTCTCTCCAGTCAGTGTCAAGACGAGGTGAATGCTGAACGCTTTTCTTCTTTTTCCTTTTTACATTTTTCATGGCAAAGATTCACAGTGAGTATTACAGTGAGTGTTTAAAGAGAGCAGGATGACAGAATCAGAAAACACTAATTATGCATAATAATAATAATAATAAATCCAGTCTTTTTGCATCACAAACGTATTAAATCAAAACTACTAAGAACTCCTGGGCATAGAGCAGCATGATGAAAAACAAACTATCACGAAAGCCTCCAGGTTTGACAAAAATCTAGATGGTCAAACTAGATGGTTTATTTTAACCATCTAGTTTGACCTGTCCTATCTGTTCATATGGAAGAGGCCAGGTTTATGACCTTTACTTCAGCCAGTCAGCATGGGGAGCTCTTAATATTTTGTTGCTCATTAAATCTTAGTGTAATGTCTATGCTTTAGTTTAGGGAACCCAAACTTTTCAGCTCGCGACACCCACAGTAATGTTGCTAGCAACTGGGGACCCCCATTGTCCTTGGAAGTGGTTAAAACATGTAATTGTGCGCACAACAAAATAGGCACACTATTAAGCCCATATAATACAATAAAGGCTAAGAGCTATTTTTGATTGGCTAAGGTCGGGAAATTAAGGGATAATGGTCAAGGGATTTGGGATGAAGAGTTGAGGGTAAGGGTCGAGGGATGAAGGGATGAGGATAAGGGTCGAGGAATTATTGAGGGACGATGGGATAGATGGACATGAGAGGGAGAGAAAAATAGATGGATGGAGGAGAAGGTGTCAGATGGTGTCGGTATACGACATGAGGAAACCAGTGGGGTCGAGACTCTGGGTGGGGAAGCCGCCATCTCTTTAGTGCTCTCTGTATGGGGCCCCCAGGGGTTCAAAGGTCAAGAGAATAGGAGAAGAAGTGAAAAAATTGAAAGTGGTTTAGGGTTGGGTCAGGAGAGATATAAAAGCAGAGTCAGAGGTGTGTTTAAGTCTGTTTGAAATGGATGTCTATGTCCTCTGAACCAAGTTATATAAAAAAAAACATGCAGACAGGTGATGGAATTACAAAAAATTAATGAATTCATAGCTTCCATACAAGGTGCATGGGCGTAGTGAATGGTTTAAAGGGAAATACAGAAAGCACAAAAACATCCACTTTGCAACAGATTTGAGCTGGGTTGAACAGTGGCACAAAGATCAAAGGCCCAAAGCTAAACCAAAAAAAAAAGAAAAAACCTGTGACGTGAGAAAAAAAAACTTTTAACATCCTGTGATGCAACTAGTGATAAGTTAAACCTCAGTTCCATCTCTCATTCACTGTCTGAGACATCAGCAAGCAGCAGGACAGCCCCTTAGGTAAAAATCTGTTTTCCATCAGCTACACATAACAGCTTACTTCTGATGTTCTTGATTTCTGATAATGTATTTATACTTTTGTGTTTGTCTGTCTTATGTTTATCACACAGGAATAATGTGAATGTTGGTTTAAACGCGAATGATACATTTCTCGTATTACACGAACTGTGGTTATAATAAGACATTTAAGAAATGGACAATAAGGAGAAATTTTGTTTCGGTATTCACAGTGTGATGCTGGTGGAGACATGAAGCATCTGCAGCTCCTCTTCTTGTGTGGTTACTGCTTCTCAATGACCGGCAGCATCAGAGGTACCGCTCACTTATCCTGACATGCTGATCTTTTCCTCTGAACCTCTCTATGGTGAACTCTTAAATATAGCAGCGACATATGACATATTTCATCTTGTGAAGTGGTTTGTATTCATGTGGTCAAATGATGCTCTGTCTATAGACTTTCTGGTGGGCTCATTACTTTAAGGTCATACAGTACAGTCATCAATCCAGGAATCATCTCGTTGTTGTGTTATCTTTGATCATTTCTGACATTTCCAACAGTCTTTGACATTTTGAGTATAATTATAATATGCAATTTAGCCGATTCTGATACCAATGTTTTTTGAATTTTATCTTTTTTATTCTACCTGTCGGTTGTTCAAAGGTGCTATCAGAATCAGAATCAGAAACACGTTGTTAATCCCCGGTGGAAATGTTGTTGTTGCTCTTAAAAACAATATAGAAGTAGGAAATATAGAATATAGAAATGAAATATGAATAGAATAAGACATGAATGCAGAGTAGCCACATGACAAAATCATAAGCTTTATGCAAGCACAGGGAGTTGAATATTTGAACCATCTTGACAGATATTCATGTGCCGTGTTGAACAGTGTAAATAAGCGATGTGATTGGATGCGTTATCAGTCTCTCATCTTGAAAACTGTCTTACAAACTTTCACAGATTTTCCCCAGGAACGGTGTCTGGCACCCTCACTGACCACATTTACTTTAATGTTTGACCATGAAAAACAAGTTTGTGCAGCAGGTGTTGCTTCTGCTCAGTTGTAAATATAACGCATTACTTCACTTAATTAACCTACAAGCTGCCGAAAGTAATTTGTGGCACTTCTTGTTACATTACTTTTGCATTACTCCGTGACATCACCTGAGATGCACACTCATTAAAAATGTAATATGCCCACATCGACACAGATTCTTATTCTAATCAGAAGACATACAGGAGATCTCTCTTTTATGCACTTTAATAGAAATAGGCGCCAACTAGCCTGTTTGTCAATGCTTTCCTCGCTGCCCACTGGCTTGTTGCTGCCCACTGGCATGTTGCCTTTGCAGGTGATTGGAAAGATTTGATGTCGAGTTCACAGCAGCGGAGCCTGCGGGCACAGTTTAAACTTTCCCGTCACATTCTTGTCCTTTCTCACAACAAAGTCAAATGAGTGTGCAATTTCTCCAAGCCTAATAATCAGAATCAGAATCGTGTAAAGTACATTTACACATACAAGGAATTTGTATTGGTGCAAAAACAGTTAACAAAGGAAATTAAGCAAAATAGCAAGAACTTAATAAATAACAATAAAATAATATATAAGAAGTAATTACAATATATTTATAATAGAGTATAAGAAATATAAAAACACAAAATGTACAACGTGCCACGTTGAGGGTTGATGGGGGCCGCATGTGGGGCTGGATGAGAGTCTGTGTTATGTGGGGGGAGTTGGGGAGGGCAGGGACATTGCTCATGAGGCTGACAGCAGAGGGGAAGAAAACTGTTCTTGTGGAGAGAGGTTTTTGTCCTGATGGACCGCAGCCTCTTTACAGAGGGGAGGGTCTCGAACAGTCCATGTCCGGGGTGAGAGGGGTCAGCCACAATCCTACCTGGTGTCTTGATTTGAACTGCTCTACCATTTTAACTTTCCTCCTTCATGGACTCAAGCCAACATCAGGAAAGCAATGTCAGGGGAATGGTGTGCGTGAAAAGAGCATTTACACATATTTAGGCATTCTTTACAAATGTAGTCTAATTACAGTAACAAGCTACCCCCCAACTCTGCATCTGCCCAATGTCAAACCTCTTCTCTGAATCAGCAGATTGGTAAACTAACTTGCCAGCATTAAATTGATACAACACAACAAATACACAACAGCTACTTAAATCAGAGCATGCCACTTTTACACATTTATATTGACACCGTATTATGTGGCTTAAAAATGTATTTCTTACATTGTGAGTAAATGCAACTGTTTTTTTTCCTCTTCCATAGCCAATGGATATTCCTGTGTGAGTGCCTACTGGGACACAGTTACATGTGTTGTGAACATCACTGGTGATCTCGTGGGCCGGTCCAACACCAGCTACAGACTGGACTTCATTGGGTAAAAGCCCTTCTTTTTGTAATGTGATTTCACTTCTTTTTTTTTATACTTCCAACAAAACTGTTCTGTTATATTTTTCTAAGCTTCAGTGACACCACTCCCTGTCCCCTTGTGCTGATGAATGACAGCTACAACTGCGTCTGCAAAGTCAAGAGAGACTATTTCATGGACATTGATGTATATCGCATAGACCTTTGTAATGAATCCGACTGCGATACATTGGAGGATTATTTTATGCCATCATTGAACAGTGAGTATTCATCTCTTATAATTCATGCTTGTTGTAAATGTGAGTGACTGGTATGTGACTGTGTTTCTTTGATGTCTTATACATGGATGTAGTGTCGCAGTATTGGTCTCAACACCGGTCTTGAGACCACTTTTTGAAGCTCTCTGTCTCGTCTCAGAATCCAAGGCATTTTTACTCGGTCTTGTCTCGGTCTCACACAAGGTGGACTCTCTATTTTAAATCAAGACCACCACTGATCAGCAATGTTGTTAGAAGGCAAACACCTCTCCTTTAAAGGAATAAATAACTTCAATTCATTCATAATTTGGATTTTTATCCACCGGTTATGTCCACAATTTTCCCGGTGTTACGGTCTAAGTGAGCGACACGCACCTACACACAACATGATGACTGTTCATTGATATTTATGGTCTTGGTCTTGTCTCGGTCTCGCCCTGCCTTGGTCTTGGTCTTGACTCTCTCTCGATCCCTAAATGTCTTTGTCTTGTCTTGGTCTCGGAGCACTCTGGTCTCGAGTATGTCTTGCCATGAATGCATGTCTGATTAAAGCTCCTGAGAGGAGTTTTTTAGCTGGTTGTGGAACAAACTGAAATGTATTTTGATGCTTCTTTATGAGCTACTTAACCAGATCATCAGTAGTGACAATTTCTATGTAGTTGTTTCAAATACGTGGAAAAGCTTTGTCCACAGGAGGCACCAAAATTGACACAAACCAATAAAACCTCACAGGAGCTTTAACTTTTTGTCCATAATTTGAACTTGATTCCAAGATAGTTTAACATTTCCCAAAGTGAAGTTCCATTTGTTTTTAGGAGAAACATGACATAATGTATTTGCAAATGTTATTGCTGTATTAGAAAGATTCCTGTAAGTTGGACTAAATATGATTGGAAATATGTATTGATCAGTTCAGCTGACGCCCCCACATGATATTGAGGTTGACCCAAGTCCAGAGAATTTCAACGTCACCTGGAGAAGTGGGTACGAAGACCATGACAAACTTCGCGATGTGCTCGAATACGACGTCTCACTTCAAAGGTCCCAAAGCACTGACAACAAAGTAAGACCAGATGTTATACCTAGCCAAGCTTAGACACCTTTTTTTTTTACAATAAGCTCTGACTAATTCAACATTTTTGATGCAGATTCTCAGCCCCGGGTCACAGAAATTTGTTCTAATTCCAAGAGCGGCACTCGAACCCGATGCTACATACTGCTTTAAAGTCAGATCTAAACCCTATATCAAAGATTATGAAGCAATTTGGAGTCAGTGGAGCCAATCGACATGCATCAAAAATAAAGCAGGAGAAGGTAAAGTGATTTCTTTTTTCTTCTTTTGTTCATAAAGTGTCAATGACACCCGTCCTGTTACACACATTTAATCAAAGTCTGCTTTTTTTATACCATATGTCTCGAGAAAGAGTCCAGAGATAAGCCATTTCATGTATAATTCAGTTTGAATAATAATACAAGTCATTCATGGACATCAGCCACCTGATAGCCGGGCAGTATGACTCAGTAATTCTGCATTACTCTGTAATTGTTCTCAGAACAAGATAATATATTAGTCACTTTGATGAAATGGCTGGTCCCTGTGTGTGTGGCTGCCGGCATCCTGCTGTTTGCCTTCAGCAGTCCTGCTGCAAGGTAAGTCACTTGTACTGTAAAAATTCAAGATGAAATCAGCTTTATCTGTTCTAGATAATGATTGCATGCCTTAAAGGTAAGATTTGATCATTGCATCTGTTTCATTTGCAAAACAGAATGAAGATAAAAACTCTGTCCCACACTCCATCACCAGCTCCTTTTTTCAGACCTCTGTATCAACATCATGAAGGCAATCTCCAGGTGAGGTGTTCTTCATCTAATTGACTCAGTGCAAAAGTCTCTTGTCAAGAGGTAAGTAGTCACATGGATGTTTAAATGGGTTTTTTTTTCCTTTGGTTGATTGGTAACTTTAAAAGAGTGGAGGAATCATTGCTCAATTATTAACAGAAACGCTATATGTTGGAAAAGTGAAATGTCATTTTAAATGTGTCTTTGCTTTTGGAAGTCACCTCGCGACCCCCCTCCCATTGTCTCGTGACCCCCACTTTGGGAACCACTGTCAGACTGTACGTACATGGACGTAATCTCGGTGACATCTTCATTGTTTTTTGAAGCAAACTTTTGATGCCCTTTGATGACGGTTGCCAAATTGGAAATGCTGTCTCAAACAAATTTTCGGTCAACATAGTAGCAGGCAAAGAGCATGAGCTAAGGCGGGCCTTCTAAAAATCAAAACAGATGCGTTATAAAGAAACTACTGCATGTACAGTGTGGGCAGATAAAGACATTTACTTAAAAGACCAAAGTTTTTTTTTTTACCTGGCTGTAAACATGTTTATTCGGCTGTCAAAATGGATATTTGAATATGGGTTGTATATGGGACTTCCAGGTCTTATGGAGCCCGCCTTAAGTGGACACTTGAGGAACTGCAGATTTTTGCACTTCTGCATTGCTTCATTTTTCAACAATGGAGGTTGCTTCTTGTATTACATGAGCAGTTGAGCTTTACACCCTGAGCAGGACAAAAGGGAAACTGGATATGTTGAGTCAGGAGTCAATCCTCTGGGGACCATGAATATCTGTAACAAATTTTGACAGCTTGAAGGACAATTATTACCATATGGATAAAATATCAGTAAACTTGTTTTAAAAAGGTTTTAGTTTTCATCTATGTTGTGAATGATTTGTGTAAAAGTGATATACATCATCATCTTCATCAGATCTAATGCATCTCTTTTCTGCTGAATTTGTAGGAATGGTTTTCACCTAAAGGCAAATTTCTTCTCACGTACAAACCTGAGGAGATCTTGACATCCAATGCTGTAACTGTTGTTTCGAAACCTGTTAAAAAGGACCCAGAGGAGAACCAGGACCTCCATAACCCTTTGGTAATGCAACTGTTTCTCACCCAGTGCCAAACCTCCTACGTTGGCTTACCCGCGATACATGAGGCCTCACCGCCTGCAACTATGGTCTGTCCAGGGGAAACGTCTTACACACAGCTGCCCTGTTCTGTCTGGGGAGTCAATGTCAACATCAGCCATGCAGACTCTGGCTGCAGCATAGAGGACATGACCAAGAGCGCAGACAGCAGTTTACCAGACAGTCCCGTTGATGATGTTCCCCCACCATGTTTCTGCACTGATTACTGCATCCTCAACAAAACTGCAGGTGGTTTTGCTCCTGTTTTAGTTTCCAAAGGAAGCCGCCTAAATGCTTCATCAGATTCCCTGCAAGACGATGAGAGATCAAATATTACATAGAGTAAGTGTAATTCATCTGCGCTGCCATCTTGATATCTGGTAATGCAGCAACCTTAAAGAGGACATATTATGCCCCTTTTCCACCTTTTCAAACAGTCCCCTATGGTCTAAATGAAACTTCTGTGCTGTGCTTTGGTCAAAATATAACATAAATCAAGCACCAGAGGAGGTTTGTGACCCTGTATAAACCAGCTCTCTCAGAACGCTCCGTTTTGGTGTGTGTGTCTCTTTAAATGCAATGGCTCATTTGTGAGTTTTCCCAGTAGACATCACGTCTTCGCTAGCGAGAATAAAAATGGCAGACTTGCGCAACAGTTTTGCTCTAGGTTTGGGGTGGAGTCCATGGGTGGAGATAATATAGGGGAGGGGAGGGTTTTTGTTTTTTTTACCACTGTGACATCACAAGAAGAGCAAATTTGAAACAGAACATTTGTCTCTGTGTTGTAAGACTTATGCAGAACACAAACAAAGGACTGGATGAGTTTAATTCACAGTCTGTGGGTCGGTAGACACTCAGGTTACCAAATATATGTATATGTGGATTTTTTCACATGTCCCCTTTAAGACATAATGCTTGCACACTCACATTATCTCTAGTGTATGCTACCTCTTCTAGGTGATCCATCTTATTTAGACAATGCAGGTTTTGTTCTATGTCTTGAATTCTCTACCTCTATGAAACATTTGAACATACCTCACAGTCTCTGTTCTAATGAGACAAACATCAACTCAGCAGAATAGATACAACATTAGGCTTACACTTGATGCACTTATAAGGCTTGACAGCAAAATGTATTGACACATACTGGGTTTTCATCTGAAACTCTATTGCTTTTTTTATTGCTTACATTTTTACTTCCATTTCTCTTCATCTTTTAATCTCGTGTTCAAACTGAGAGAAACTAAATCAAAAATGAGTGAATGAGTTTTTCTTTGGCTGAAGATAAATGTTTTCAAGTATTTGCTGGACTATTATCCAGCTTTGTAAAGGTTAGTCGTTGATATTTGTGCTGTGGAATATGGCAAAGCTCTTACAATGAAAATATACTGTTTTCATTTTCTTTATTGAATAAAGTATGACATTAACATGACTATTTCACTATAACTTACTCTATCAATGATAGAATGTACACATATCAATGTTTAAGTGTTTTTTTAAGGTCTATACTGATTAAGAAAAGTATTTTCTCTATGATACATAAAATCAGGACCATGCAGGGCACAGATACCCAGCAGACATAAAAATCCCAAGTGCAAATAAAATAATGGACAATAAGGCAAATGTACTTAGGAGTTATAAGCTCATGAAGCAGGTACAATGTAATCAAAGGAATAGACCAAATGAATTAGCATGAGAAATTACTGATACTTAAAAATAATTAATGTAATTATCTTATGTTGCCTCAGTAGATATGAGTGCTTGTAAAATAACAAATAGTTGTAAAATTACTTTTACTTAAATGAAGCAGTACTTTTCCCATAAACAAACAGTTGATATAATGATGATATAATGTTATTATAATTTGTATGTATTTTTGTCTAATTGCTTAATTTGATGATACCACTTTTTATCTAAAACACTCACACAAACTTACAACATCACACCTGCCATACCACAAAATACCAGTAGGTTGCGGTTAAGTAGCCCTGCAATCTAGACTCAATTTTAATACAATTTACAAAAACCAAGCAGCAACCTCCAGTGTTGAAAAAGGAAGCCAGTTTAGAAGTGCAAAAAAAATTGCAGTTCTTCGTGTGTCCACTTGAGGCTGGCTCCAAGAGCACAGGAAGTCACATACAACAACATTCAAAAATGGCTGTTTTTACAGCATAAATTAACACGTTTACAGCCTGGTACAAAAAACAATATTTGTCTGATTGGTTATTGTCCTCATGGGCACACACTGAACGGAGGGGATTTTTAAAATAATACATCCATTTTGATTTTATGAACGGTACAATTTATCCACAGTTAGTTGTGAGGCTGAACTGATTGACAGATTTGCGCGATGTAGGGGTTTGTCAGGAGGCTTAAAACACTCCTCAGCTCCAGCTCTTAGTCTTTCTTTAGGGAGTCTGAAAGTTAGGCTGACACAGGATTTCCAGCATGGTGGCTACTGATGAGCCCCCGGAGCCCCCTGCTGTAACAGTTAGACGAGCACTAAGGCTTTATCCATTGACATTTATAATCTGTGAAAAAAAACTGTAGAAGAAGAAAAGCTAGCCACCAACAGTGCTTTAAATATTACTACCTTGAGGGAAGTTATTTTAAGTATGTGGATTTATGACATGAAACAGTTTCTCCAGATAATGTTGATAAACAACATGTTCAGGTTGCCATAGTTTGCTCCAACAGTCCAAAGATAACTTGATAACGAGTCGGCTGTTTCTTGCTATTCTATGTGATGTGGGAGGATTAAAGAAGATCATCCACAGACACAGGTGAGGATGTGGTCAGGAAGCAAGCCCACTCATTTTTCTATATACGATTATCTTTTCATCAGGTGTCACGTTGGTATAACACCTACACAAATGTCTTCCATGCGCCATGACACAGTGAAGGCCTTTCCCCACCAACACACCCCAGAGGAGAGACTCTAATAATGGACCAAAGAGCAGCTGGTTGAACCTTCTGACTTGGTGAAGGTTAATGAAATGGCAGGTGTGTGAGGGGAGCATTTAGGTGCTTTGCTAAATGATTTCCAAAGTCAAGTCAACTTTATTTATTTAGCAGATAAAACAACCGAGGTTGACCAAAGTGTTTTACAGAGTAAAAAGGTCAAACATGACACAAGAGGACATCATCATAAAATAATGTTGATCTTGAAAGGAAAGCCAAAGAGAAGAGAGTGCCACTGCACTGGAGCTGTTATGACTCACCATCACAGACAACAAGCAGAGGGGGTAGTGTTGTTAGTAACCAAACCACATGGCAAACCCAATCCCGTCATTTAATGCAGACGACTTTTAATAAATTGTGCTCAATCATGACTGTTACATGATTTTTTTGACCCTTAGACTATGAGTGTGAATTTAAATTTCTGTTTCAACAACTATGAAAATAGTTGACTAGTAACATTCCCAGTATATACTTCAATATGTTTGGAAAAAAACTCAGGTCTTTTGGAGCCATTTTCACAGCTCTGTATCTGAAGCAGTTTATCTCATCACTACTTCAAGCACACTATCTCTGTCAATCAATGAACCCTCAGCAATCTTTCAAAGAACTGATGGCTCACATTTGTAGAATTTCCTGAAAAGCATTCATTGCATAACACTTTTCTTGTAAAAACAAAAAGTGACGGAAGTGGTCTTGAAGTGAAAGTGATTGAGAGACAAGGTTATAATTTACAATGATGTCACGTTTTGGTAAGTAAGAAAAATGTCAAGAGCAGCCTAAGAAGGAGGGGGAAGGGGGGGTAGCAATAACCTGACTTTTCTTAAGAGCATTGAGCTTCATATGCCTACTTGTCCTGGGTGGTTTCAGGTAATGAGATGTCATACATTCCAGCACATGTGAATAAAACCTGCAGCTGTGTGGGAGGGAGGCTTCATCATCTCAAATATCATTTATGCTGGTTTATATTGTGCTGATTTATTTCACATCAACTGATTCAAGGGAGAAAAATCAGGATCCTGACAGTGAGGACCACGTTTATCAGTGTTTATGGATAGCTTTTTTTAACGGCAGCTTCCCATGTTTAGCTAATTTTGCAGAGTAACCCAAGATTTCATTCAGGCAAGAACTCACTTGCTCTCTGCCATGTTTTTACCATTAGGAAATCATGGTGATCTGCACCTGACTTACACCAAATGGTAGTGGTATAGTGGGGCCTGAAGAAGTGGGTATACTCTTAATTTTTTTCCCCAACTTATTTTGTAAGTGTCCCATCCAGCGGAGGATAAACGGCCTCTGTTACTAACAGTGACATAAGACTCCTCTTGCATATTTAGTAAGTGTGTGCTAGCCAATTAAAGGCCGAGTAGAGAGGGTCACCCCTTCAACATCCTTGGAAATACAGCATCCTACTGAACATGGACAATCAATTAATGGTGTGAACCAGTGGGGATTTAGAAGTGGGTGTACCCTATGCACTACACCACTGCCCGATGAGGTTTGATACTGTGAACCAGTGATACTCAACCTGCAGCTACTGAGCCACATTTGGACTATTTGTGGCTCTTTTAGGTCCTATTGGAAAAATCTTGGCAAGTCATGTCACTGTGTTTCCCACACAGACTCCAGGACAGAAAGACGTTGTTTTTTTTTTTTATTAATGGCTCTTGCAGAAATATTTTTTGGTCAATGTGGCTCTAAATTCTAGCAAGGCTGAGTACCACTCCTGTAAACCCTTGTGTCTCGCATTTTATAACTTTGTTCAGACATTCCTCTTCAGCACTGGGTGGCGCTGTGGCCGCCAAACAAGCATCCACTCATGAGCGACGTCACCGAAGAAGAAGAAGAAGAAGAAGAAGAAGAAGAAGAAGAGGACGACACAGGAAGCAAAGCTGAAGATCAGCTGTTCCTGTTGTTAGCCCGTCGATCTTTACAAACTCTACTCTCCGGTGCTCTGTTTTGTTTGTGCGTCTTTGGCATTTCAGATGATTACGTCACGGCGTTGAATGTAACCGTGTTGTTTTTGTTGACGTTTTGAAATCGGTTAGACTCGTATCATTGTTGCGAGGTTAACGGTTTCAACGCGGCTCGTAAGGAACATCAGAACAGGCTGATTTTAAAGCTGATTCTGATGATGAATTTAGTCAGAAACAAATCTCTGCACCCACACCTGCGCGACGATGAAGCGCACGTGGTGGAAAACGCCATCCGGCTGGCGATAGACTCGATAATGAACGTGATTTACGGTGTCAACAGTGCCACGACGCACGAACACAAGCGGATGGTGGCCGACAGGGACAAAGAGATCCAGCGGCTGGAGCGCAAGGTGAGGGAGGCGGAGCACGAGCTGAAGGTGCAGCGCCGCCAGGGATGCTCGTGCAGGTTGTTCGAAAACGAGCACAGCCTCGCGAGAGGAGCACAGAGCTCTGGTGACGCACGGGAGAGAGAGCAGAGCGGGTTTGAACCCAGCTGCATGGACCCGGAGAGGACAGCAGGGCAGCAGGAGTG